ATGGAAATAGACACCGAAATAAAACAGAAATCTCAAAAGCAACAAATACAGCAAAACAATAGCACAGCGTTACCTACATACCTAAGTTAAGCGAAAACTGCAATCACCAACTAGCCAAAGCACAAAACATAACTTTTGCATATAAATCAAACTCCACCTTATCCTCAGTTTATACAAAAACAAAAAGCCCAATTGACTCCCAACAGAAAAGCAATGTTGTGTATGAAATACAATGTAAAGGCAACGAAATCGAAGCCTGTGGCAAGGTGTACATTGGAACCACGATGCAGCGAACAAAGGTGGCGCCGTCAGTGGTACCGCTACTTTGATTGTGCCGATTTTGACAGTTGTGGTAACTTGTAAATAAACCTTTGTTTACAAATCAATTAATTAATTTTCAATTTGTGAGTGATTTTTGAGTTGAGGACTGCGTAAAAACTAATACAACGAAATGCTGTGTGCTAAATTGCGACAGCCGTCAAGATGCAAGAAGCGTAGATGCAAGTGTAGCGCTGGGACGAATCGCTGCATTTTGTGTACATAGGGCACGGCAAAGCCGTTGCGAAATGTTTCTCTATTATTATATTACCAGCATTTCCTCGCAATGATTTTGTTTCTGCTCCACGCAGCCTCCATTAGCAAGTTAACTAATCAATCCCACAGATTGCAAAGCAATGGAGTGCACTAAAATGTTCACTGTTCTCTAATAGATTAGGTGAAAAATGCAATATTTTCACATTTAACAAATTTTAAACACGTTTTTCGCTGTAAAGTGAACTGCTTTGGCAGTTTCAACTCGCTCTTCTTTTCGCTCCATTCTTTGTTTACTTGTGGTACACAAATGTCAACGCCCAGGACGGCCCAATCTTGTATATCATTCTTGCATTGGAACAACTAAACGAGCTCTAGGTACCCGGCTAGCAGAACACGAAGCAGATATAAAAAAACGAAATACAAACACAGCACTCGCACAACACATAGTAACCAGGGGACACACAGCTGATTTTAAAAACACAAAAATAATAGACCAAGAGAAAAGGGAAATAACTAGGTACACGCTGGAGAGTCTAAGAATAATGGAGAAAAGAGAAAAAACAATAAATAAAAAGGAAGATGCCGATGACATTGCCGCAGGTTATATTTTATGTTTACAAAATTAATTTAAAACGTTTTCAGTCTTGAAAAAACTACCACACAAGCTGGTATTGGATTTTTAGCAATTAAGTTTTTAAAATGTTTAAGTGTTAATACTGTGAGTATTTTCTTGTATCGAGTTAGAATTGTTTGTTTACATTTATTATTGTCATCAAACTATATGTATATGTGAATACATACATGTATGTATGTATGTTCTTGTTTGTGTTTTTCTGCTCTTAATGTTCCTTTTATATTTTGTATTTATGGCTGTAATAGACAAATATAAACAACGCGCCCCTGATGATGCTAATAGCGAAAGGTTGGGCTGTAATAGTGGGATAAACTTGTTTTATTTGCACTAGAGATAATCAGATTGGACTAGCCTATAAAGGAAATTTTACTAAAAATATAATACCGCTTTCTTATAGTAACGATTTGCATTCAAATTTGAATTTATCAGTTTTGACAAAAAATTATTGTTCAAATTTTTCAAGCTTGAACACACATATCTCCCAGCCGAAAAACGGTAGAAAGCTGAAAACTTACTCCCAAATGTAGAATTTAATGGGGAAAAAACCTGTGTTTTTATTTTTCCAAAAAAATCATTTTTATACCCGAGCGCACTTGTGCACAAGGGTATTATAATTTTGTTCGCATAACGGTTGTTTGTAACAGCCAAAACGAATCGAGATAGATATAGATATAGACATATATATACAGAATGAAAAGAGAAATCGATTAAGCGGTGACTGTCCGTCCGTCCGTCTGTCCGTGGATACGATAACTCGAGAAAACATTGAGATATGTCCAAGGTAGGTTGGGATTGAAAATGGGCAGAATCGGACAATAACCACGCCCACCTCCCATATAACGGTATTTTCGAAATATGCAAAAACTACGATACTTCCGCAAATACTGGATCCAAATTGTTGAAAGTTGGTATGCGAAGTAGAAACTTGGCATAAAATAAGACAGTTATGAAATTTTTGGAAAATGGGCGTGGCCCCGCCCACTTATGATAAAAAGCTGTATCTCTGTAGTCCCTTTACCAATCCCCACCAAACTCGCTGAGAACATTTCTTAAGGCTTGACTTAGAAACCTGTTGAAAATTTTTGAAATCCGACAAGAACCACGCCCACCTCCCATATAACGGTAATTTACAGAAATACGAAAACTGCTATAAATAATTAAATATTTAAGCTAATTTACTCAAAATCGATATATGCAATAACCTCTTAGCAGAAAATTATAATTAGGGAAATTTTTGGAAAATGGGCGTGACACCGCCCACTTATGCCTACATATGTGTATCTCGGTAACCGGCTTTCCGGATCATTTATCAACCTTGGCATGAAAAAGCAATATGCTGCAAATTTTTGAAATCGGACTAAAATTACTGCCACTTACCATATAACGGTACATTTCAGAAATACGAAAACTCCGATTTTTTAATAAGCTAAGACGCCAACTTACAACAATCACTTAACAAGACACAAGATGATTGATTACTTACTACGTAAGTGTATATTGATAACCGCCTTACCGATTTTCACCATACTTGGTCCAATTATTTCAATAGATTATAGTATATTATCGAAAAGTTTGGAAAAATACTCTTGCTTATCATGCAGTTTACTGAAAGGTGAAAGAACGATATTTAATATGTGCGCCGGGTATATAATGTTCGGTTTCGCCCGAACTTATACTTCTTTACTTGTTTAAATTGAGATCTGTAGTGCGATTCCCATTTTTCTTAACGACCGATATTCGTTATTGATAATGAACGACGTTTGTAGCTTGCAGTAGCGAATAGGCTATTCTCAAAAACACGCTTAACGACAGAATTCGTTAGACATGTCGATAAAGAAGTTTACGACGATTGTCGTTAATTACAAAGCCAAATATGGCAATATTGACGTTTGACACTCAATATTTAAAAGAAACTTGTTATTGTTGCGCGTATTATTAGGTTTGTTCGTCGAAAATCCAGCAAGAATTATCCAACACTCAAAATATCAGAGAGTAAGAAAAAATTCTCTCAAATTCTCTCTCATGTTGAGAAACTTGCAAATTTCTGCACGAACGCAAATTTGCAGGAATTTGCAAGTTTCGCTGCCAGCTGGCGTCCACGGTTGCATTTCAAACATAAAAAATTTTTATAGAATTTTTAAAATTCTTTCGGATGGCCAAAAACAGGATATACATGTATATTTCTTGTTGTTCTGACTTTCTTTGACATACATTTCAATTTCTTCATCGTACTAGCTGTCGGGTTTCTTAAATCGACTCTGGTTGCAATTGCATTCCGATTGCGAATACCATTTTTTTCAGCCGAATTCAGTTCAAATCATTGGAATTAACTAAATTAATTATATCAACAATTATTTACTTCCTTTTTTCATAAAAAAATCGCTCGTGTTTATAAATTTTTAAATTTAACGAACTAATTTATTCAAATTATTGTAGACAAAAATGCAACCATGCGCCACAACCACATGTTTTTCGTGTTTGCAAATTCTTGCTGGCAAAATTTTTTCCAGCAAGAATTTGCAACTTCTCTCCAAGAGAACTGTCACTTTGCTCTCACAATTTTTGAGTGTTGGATAATTTTTTGGTCTGCACGAACGCGATTTGGGCAAAAATCGTGATAATTCGTACAAATTCGTACAAATTTTTTGCTCGACGAACAAACCTATTGTGTCGGGATTGTTGTTTGTGAATACAATATGAAAAAAAGAAGAGCAGGAGCTACTACGGAGCAGTACCATAGGATGCTGGACTGCTTATTTGGCAATAACGGCCTCGTGCAAGGCGAATTTAATAAGGGGGTATAAGCCGTATATAAGTAAAAAATTACAAATTATACGCACAATTACAGTATGAATTACAACAAACACATAATTTTGACATTATGCTTTCCACGTCTAAAATTCAGCTTTGGCTCTAGTTTTCGACGTAAGGGTACTTGAAAATTTCCTTAAATGTAGAGTTTTTATAAATAACTCCAACAAAGTTCGTTAAAGTCATTTTACCAAACTTTTTCACGTAACTATTTTTTAATATAACCTTCACTATAAAAAATAGTCATGTTAAACATTTTATTAAAACAACACTAAAGCTGATTTATTTACAAACAAGTTAAAATTGAAGCAAATGCTCTAGTATCGTTATCTCGAAAACTGGAGCCAATCTGACAAAATTTAGAATGCCCCAATTAAGTGAGATCAACTTTCTAAGCCTTTGCCAATGTTTTCAACTTGCACAGTGTAATAAATAAAAGTAACAATAATAAAAAGCACATCTATATGTGATACATTTTTATTTATTAGTTATTTTTTATTATAATTTACCGATGAATTGGGCCTAATTTTTCTCAATAAAAACTTGAAACAATTTTATCGGTAGGCTTTTCAACGAAAAATATTCGTAGCTAGGTTATCGACAAATTTCGTTAGACAACTGTCAAAACTACCGACAATATTCGCTAAAAGCGTGCTTGAGAATTGCAGTTAACGAAACTTGTCGGAATCGTTAGCTAACGATACGAATATTGTCGTTAAGAAAAATGGGAATCGCACTACTGAGCTTGCTTGGCCCCGCGTGCGTCAGTAGTGCAAATGCCATACAGAAGTGAGAAAGATTGCGCCGAAAAGGTTGCAATATCAAAGTTGTTGTTGGCGTGCTCTCAAATTACATAAAATTTGACAGAGAAAGTTAAATATTGCATACAATTTGGTTGAATAACTAAAACAATCTAGCAGCAATTTATTGAATCGAGGAAGAGGGTAAATTTATTTTGTATATTATTTTTTAGTGGGCAATTTAAGTTGGAGCTGTGGGCAGCAATACTTGCTTCTTTGGATGCTGAGTTGGATGGAATGTCTGTGGCTGCAGGTGGTGCCGGCGTGCAACAGGGCGCAGATGCTCCAGTAGTGCGATTCACTAACTTTTAACAACGCTACTTGCCGAGTTGTAAACTAACAATTTTAGTTGTTTGCAGTAACGATTGTACGATTCACTAACGTACCCATTAACAACACTAAGCAGCTGACTTTTGATTTTTATTTAAAATGATAAAAAGTGGCACCACTGTCATCCGAAATGTCAAAATCTACGAAAAGCACAAAAGGGAACAGGAAGAAAATAAAGCAATTTACACAGATTCTTCTTAGAATGTAAGTATTTCAATAAATTGCGGAATAGTTGATCGTATTTCATAATTTAACCAACAACTATTGTTCTTTTATCGCAGGATGGCCTCGACTAGCCAAGCAGCCAACAAGCGGAGCCGAGCTTCAATGGAGCAGTTAAGTGGCATGCTGGACTTCTTCTGGGAAAACCCGGGACTAGCCGGTGGGAAGTTTCATCGGCTTCACGGGAAGATGGAGCACGAGAAGAAGTGGGCGGAGATGTCTTCCAAGCTAAATTCCATCGGAGGCGTTCAAAAGTCTGCCGAACAGTGGCGTACAGTAAGTAATAAGCCCATTAAGTTTGAACGTACCAGCAAGCAATGGTGCTGTGCATACGAACTGGTGAATAGGGAAAAATTAATAATTTTTATTAAGGTCTGTCGTTTGTGAAAATAATTATTAACGTAAGAATATCGGTTTTCTTATAAAAGTACACATACAAGTGGAGTCAATCCCATGCATTGTCACTGCACACAGTCTCGTTTATTGTATGTACATGCATTCATTGTTTGGAACATTGTACCTGTTATTTTTTAATGATACTTTTTTTTTCTTACGTACATAGGTATGGCGCGATTTGAAGAGCAGAACCAGTGTTCGAGTGCGCGACAGGAAAAGGCAGCAGGCGTTAACCGGCAACAAGCCCGTTAAGCAGGCTCCTTTAACAGAGCTGGAAGAGCGGGTCGTGGCCATAATCGGGAGCAACTATATTGAGGGCCACGAGTCTGTGGCAGAAAATGTACCAATGAACTTGGTAGGTTTTAAGTGACTTATTTCTGACTCAGTATTAACAACTTTTTCATTATTAGGTGCTCCAATTGGCCATGGAAGACGGTGAGGAGATTGTTTTATTGGATGAACTGGTGGAGTGCGAAGGCTTAATAGAGGAGTAGACGCGGCCGGAAACTCCAAAAACTCCTACACTTAGAACCCCGCGCAGAGGATTGAAGAGGAAGAGAGAGGAGGAGCAGATCGACGTCCAAAATAAATTTTTGGAAATTGCCAAAACGCAAGCCGGGGCAACCAAAGTAAATATTTTATTATTAGATTTTGCAATTTTTAATGATTGTTTTTTTAAATACATAGATGCTGTTAGAAAGTTTCGCCCGACTGGTGGAGGTACTATTCCAACTGGCGGGGGAGCTCCGCGGATACGGAGAGGGGTTGAAAGCCTGTGGTGATGCAATAAACAATTTGGCCAGGGTACTCGGCCCACAATAATTTTTTTGAGCTAGATTAGGTTAAGAAAAGTAAAAGCAGGTTGAGAATTATGTTAAGAAAGTGAATTGGTACCTTTTAATTTTCTGCAGAATATTATATTATATACATACACTGGTGGCCTGATAATTAGAAACCCGAGTTCACAAATTTTTTTATTTTTTTCTTTATTTGTTTTAATTTATTTTAAGAAAAAACCATAAAGCAAAGTTATAGACTTGTACATGATTTAGAAAAAAAAAATTTCAGAAAGGCGTCAATATTTCAAGCTTTTTAATCAGAATTTCTGGAAAAAATTCGTGTGTGCTGTTTTATAACCCATTCAATTTTGATATAAATTGTGTAACATTTAAGTCACTCAAAAACTTCATTGATTGTTGAGATTTTTTTCACTGACGTTGTGCATTTTCTTCCATACGAAGTATGTTCGAACATTCTTCTATATAGTAGAAATTTAAATTTCCTTTTATACTAGTAAATTATTTTATTAATTTTTTTAATTTTATTTGATTTATATATTTAATTTTACTCTTTAATTTTAGTTTTGCTCTTCTTATAACTGCATACTGGCATAGTACGTAACAAATTGTTATTAAAATGATCTCCTATTTCATGCAACTCAGCTAAGGTTTCAAGAGAGAGTTCTTGACGCTTCGAATTCAGAGAAAGGAAAAAGCTGAAAATTTTTTGGTGAACTAGCTTTTGTAAAAGCTTCCACACATAAAGTCGCAAAACGCTCAAGTTCACTACAAAGATTTTCACAATGCTTCCCACTAAGCATAGCGCGGACACAAACCGAACACGGCAGTGTTCGATAGGCGTAGTTGAGGAACAGAGAATGCGTATTTGTAGGGTTGCCAGATTTTTAATGCGCGAAATCAGTACATTCGACTTTTTCTTGCTAAGAAAATTAGTACTTTTCAGTACATTTTTGTTCAAAGCAAAATTATGTATGTAAGTAACAGAAAATAATTTAAAACGCCTGAGTTCTTGTTTTTAACAATATTTTGGTATATAAATAAAATATAATTCATAAAAAATAAAAGTGTTATTCATTTTAACATGAGTGTACACATCATTATTCACAGGAGCCAATAAATTATTTTATATTTGTGACTTTTTGAATAGCAATAACACTGTAAGGCAAAATCAACTTTTTTTCTGGGTATTATACCAAACTAATTTTTTTTTAAGAGATTGAATCATAGGTAAAAAAGTAATTTCTCCGTTTTTCGAAGTTAGCCTCCGAAATCGAGATATGGGCCTTAGAAGTTCGAAATTGGACCTTTGGTAAAAAATTATTTTTAATTACTGTATGTAAACTACTAAAAAAAGTAAAAATATAGTCGTGGTACCCCCTTTTCTCTTATTTAAACGAAATATATCTTTTTCTATGTTACAGGTGCTATAAAGGGGTTAAAGGTCGGAACTTCGAACAATTAAAAACCTTATACTTCAAATAAGTTTGAACTGATTTTTAAAAAATTAATATCGTCGTAAACGTGATTTAACGCGCTTTCTTCTGATATGCAATTTGTATACTTCGTATGTATAAATCTGAGAAAAAACATTGAAAAGGAAAAAATACTTTAACCTTAAAATAGAAAAATAGCGATGGTAACGATAAAGCTGCAAGAGGGCGAAAATGTTGGTAGTTGACTAGGCGCACTCGCGATTCTCCCCACCGGACATGAGCATTGGAGAAATTTTTGCAGTTGATAATACGTCAGTGAACGTTGAAAACCCGATGAAAGAACTAGGCAACAAAATTATCGAACCAGTGGGCAGGATGAGCGGTGGTAGGGGATCAATCCACCAACCTATGAGAGACCTAGGTGCAGAAATAGCAAAGCTGCACGGTCGGGTGACGGAACAGGTAATTTCAACCAAGAAAACCAAAATAAAATAACAGTGCGTACAAACTTCAAAAGAGAGGAACGACCGAAAACCTACGGGTAACGGCGGCCTAGTGCAAACGGGCTAAAATAAGAATAACGAAAAGCCTAGGATGATAAGCGAGGAAGCTGGCCATTTAGAGCATCAGGCCAATAAATGGATACAGGTGCAAAATCAACGGAAGCTTAGCAAAAAGGCAAGGAAAGCGTCAAAGCCTGATGCAGTTATTATTTCTAAACCGGCCAAGTGGCATGCAAGTTTAAGAAAGGAGCGACCGAGATTCTGAAAAACTCTGCAACCGTAAAAATTGTAAGTAAATCACTGACGATAGAGATCCACGACGTAGATGTTGGCTACAACCGAAGAAGACATTGGTAACGTCATTAAAGGTCAGTTTCCAAAATTGAACCAAAGGAGTCGGTTGCAGTGAAGTCCATGAAGACAATAAAAAATGGCACACAAACCGCGCTTATAAACCTCCCGGTTCGAGACGAAAAAATCTTGGTGGAGGCGGGACGAATCCGTGTAGGCTGGGTCAACTGCAGGGTTCGAGAAATACTTACCCAGTTAGATTCTAAAGATACCCTGAATTTGGACACATATATAGGCACTGTAAAACTGAATAGGGCCGTAGCGGCTCATGCTTGCACTGCAGAGAAAAGGGGCACTCTGCAAAACTATGTCAGGCAGCGCCCAAATGCCCCATTTGCAAGACAAGCGACGGGGTTAGAGAGAATCATCCTACTGGAAGCTTCAGATTCCGAGCGTATAAAAAGGCGGTTAACCAATTGAAGCAATGAGCAGGTGCCTACAAATTAATCTGAACCACTGTGAGGTGGCGCAAGACCTCATAAAACAAGCAATCTTCGAGCGAAATATAGACATTGCTCTCATCAGGGGAATGAAGCTGGTTGCAGGACAAGAGACGAAAACCTGCAGTCTGGGCTTGCGGAGCTTTCCCCTTCGAAACCAGAGGCAATAGCCAGCATGAGGGCTTTATCTATACAAAAATTTTAGGAATTCTCTTCTACACCACCAAGCGAGTAACTAGAAGACTACAAAAACATGCTAAGCCGTCTAGCAGCTGATGTTGCCGGGAAAACACCTGTGATCATCGCTGGAGACTTTAATGCGTGGGCAGTAGAATGGGGTAGCTCGAAAACAACTTCACGAGGCCAGGCGCTTCTTGAAGCCTTAGTCAATCTCGACATCGTGCTGCTCAATAAGGGGGAGAAAAATACCAATCAGAACGGGAGCGCGGGTTCGATCATTGACCTGACCTTTTGTAGCCCTGCGCTATTTAACAGAATAGAATGGGAAGTCTTAGAAGATTTCATATACAGTGATCACTTTGTGATTTCCATTGTAATCCATCCACCGCGAAGCTGTGTACAGAAAAAATGGATCACGAAAGTTCAAAAGGCTGGCTGAAAAGCAAAAATGCTAGATAGGAGCATGCTTGAGTACATGGCAGAGCACCTGCCTGACACAGTCGGCGAAAGCGCCGAAAACACCGCCACTTGCGCTAACGCACTAATTAAGCTGGTAACCAATATATGCGATGCCACGAATGCCTCAGGATGCGGCGACAACACCAAAGACAGAGGACTAGGAGTAACCCTGAGCATATTCGTATCCAAGCCGCATACAAAAGCGAGCGTCAGGAAAGCAATCCAGCGACGACAACCCTTGGGGCAGAGGGTAAAAAAATTTATAGTGTGCTGAAAAAATGTATAGGGAGAAACGCGAAGTCGCCAGTGTACCCCAGAATAATGAGGAAAATTGTCTCAGGGTTATTCCCGCAGCAAGATTTGTAGAGTGTGCCGCGTGAGCTGAAAGTATAAGCCTCCGATATTCCGCCGGTTAGCAGCCAAGATTAAGGCCGAAAAATCGCCAGGCATGGACATAATCCCGAATGGCGCTCTCCAACACATAGTTAGGAAAAAACCCGAACTCTTTAGCCAGTTATACACAAGGTGCATCCAGGAAGGTATCTTTCCGAGGAAATGGAAGGACATTGGCTGGTTCTACTACCGAAAGATAACAAGCCCCCGAGGAGCCGTCATCGCACAGACCTTTGTGCATGCTGGATTCTACAGGCAAACTACTGGAAACAATTATAAGCGCGCGGCTCCAAGTGGTCGTGGAAGGAGACCGGAGACTTTCAAACTGGCAGTATGGGTTCCGAAAAAGGCGTCCAACAATTGACTCGGTAGCTGCTGTCTGCGATATCGCAAGACAAGCACTTGAGGGAAGGGATGGTTAGAAGGTACTAAGCAGTAAAGCGCTGTAATCACGCTGGATGTAAAAAATGCGTTCAACTCTGCCAACTGGGGCCAAATAATAGAAGCAATGATAAAAATTAACATCCCGGATTACTTAACAAGAATAATATCCAGTTATTTCAGCACAAGCGTGCTCTACTACGACACCAACAAAGGTCCAAAAAAGTACTCTATTACAGGCGGTGTGCCCCAAGGGTCGGTTCTTGGACCACTTCTGTGGAATATCATGTATGATGACATCTTCAAAATAAGAAAATCGGAAGGTGTATCCATTGTGGGTTATGTAGATGACATACCGATTGTTGTGGTGGCTAAGCATCTTGTGGACGTGTCGCGCATGTGCAGTGAAATCATAGCGTCCTAGAAAACGTGGCTGCCAACAGCTGGATTGGAGTTGGAGGATCACAAAACATAGGCTGTTGACCGGCAGGAAAAGGGTTGTTGAAGAAATCGAAATACGAGTACGTGGCTGCACCATAAACTCAAGCCCAGCCATAAAGTACCTCGGAGTCGTACTTGATCGCCGACTGAGCTTCAAGGAGCACCTGAAATATGCCAGTGAGAAGGCAAGGAAAGTCAGAACAGCTTTGGCAAGAATCATGCCAAACATGGGAGGCCCGAGACAGCAACGAAAGATACAGCTCACGAGCGTCAGTTCGCCCATTCTGATGTATGCGGCACCAATATGGACAGCTGCTGCATCCGTACCATCATATATAAGAGCACCAGCCTCAGTGCATAGACTAGCTTCACTAAGGGTATGCTGTGCGTTCGTGACAGTATCAGACGAAGCCGCAAATTTGCTGGCCGGAAGATGCCCATTAGACATAGCGGCAAAAGCCGCGGCAGAAAGCAAGCGCAGTCCAATAAACCGGAAAGAGGCGTTACAACGGTGCATCAACAAGTGGCAACAAAGGTGGGACGCGACTACGAAAGGGCGGTGGACGAAGAAGTTGATTCCAACGGTAAGCGAATGGATCGAGAGAAAGCACGGAGAAACTAATTTCTACCTTCCGCAGTTCCTCACCGGGCATGGCTGCTTCCGACAGTATCTACACAAGTAAACACATGCTGACCATCCACATTGTCTTTACTGCGATGGTAAATACGAAAATTCTGAGTACATCCTTATGGACTGCTACAGTTTCGAAGACGAACGCCACTAGCTCGAACGGTGTGTAGGGAGCGCAGTGTCCCCCAAAGGCCTGTTGAAGGC